AGTATAGCATACATTTCGACTTTATTACAGTAGATACCCAGATCATTTCTATGTACTATTTCACTTTCACTAGAAGATATATCACTACTTTCTTGTACTGGTTTTAAAGGTTCAGAGCAATTTGAATTTCCGTTTTCAATTTTGCAATCGATAGAATTGTTACTCATCACTTTTCCATTAATATCAATTCTTTTGAAACTACAATTTTTAAATAAAATCACACCACTCCCATTTAAAATGAAGTCAGTGTCTTTCAAATATGTGTTCTCAAATGTGATTTTACCAAAATTGGTTAATTTGTAAGAGCCATATTCAATGTAAGAAAAACGAACAGTAACACATGTGAAATAATCGTTGTTAAACGAAACGAACATAAAGTCAATATTCTCAAATGTGACACTGTTGTAGCGAGTCTTATTTGAAATAAAATTATAACCAGTTGTACTTTTAATGTCACTAAAAGAGACTTGACTGTGATCCAAAAACAAATGGGTCACCGAATGCGTGTATTCATATTCTTTTAAATTTTGTGTTACATTCACATTGTTAGGAGTGTATTCGACTAAAAAGATGTTATATAATTTCGAGTTTCTCATGGTGCATGAGTCAATTTTTAATGTATTAGGTTTCAAATTAAACAATTCTGAATCATTAAAAACAGTATATGAAAATTCAGTAAAATTTGGTTTAAAATATCTAAAATCGCAATTTTTGTAGGTCGTTTGGTATGTAAAAATTCTTTCAACAACGTCATATCCAAATATGGAACTTGCAACTACTGAATACTGAACTATGTATTTATTAAATATCGAATGGGAAAAATCCATGTTGTCAATACCAACTTTGTTAACTATAATATTTGTAACATCTTTTGTTGCGTTATACACACCTTGAGGTGTTTGTGTGCACTCAGAAGTCGTTTCGTTTGTAGGTAAAGCAAAAAATATTGAATGATTGGTACATTCGTAAAGAATATATTCAGTACTTGGAACGGGGAGATCATATTCCCAACTGGCAAACAAGGTGGTAAAACATAAGGAAAAACAGAGAATTGAGTATTTATTAAACATTATGATTATTTGAGATGTTTTTGAAATTAAAAAACAAAATAAAAATATAAATATACAATCCAAAACTATGGTATTCTAATTTTTAATAAATAAGTTTTAATTAGGTATAATTGAAACAATACAACAAATTCCAGTCTGTCCAAAAACAAAATATGTTTATAAATTTTAGAAAATAATTTGAAATACAAATTATAAAAACAAAACAATGTTATTTAAATGATATTTAAGTGGTTTTGAATTGTTTCTGTTTTAATAATCACATAATTCTAAAAATCATTGTAAAAATAAACAACATTTTAAACCAAATTAATAAAAATGGTTGTCGAAAAACATTTAAAATAAAAATTATTCAAATGGTCAAAAAATAAAGAAACAATAAAATTGTTTCTGGATATTTTTAAGAATAGCTATAATTAAACAAATAAAATTTATGGACAAAAACCGTTTTTATAGAAAACAATATGCTTTTTTGTTAATAAAATAATATTCACAATTGTGAATATTTTGAATTATTATTTATTATTTATTTGTAATATATTTATTTTTTCCGAAGTTTGTTTTAATGGTTTATGACCATGGGTCGGCACAATTCTAATTTTCAAAATAAACAAGAAAAAACAAAATTTGTGGCAATTTAATTGAAAAAATACCATTATGTTTATGAAAAAATAATTTTGTTGATAACTGAGCAAATAATCGGGTTATGAAAAACATTGATAAATAAATAAAAGACTTTCTATTTTTTTAAAAATGTGTTGTTTAAAGGTCAAACAAAATACAAAATGTTTATTTTTTAATTGTGTTTTATACTTGTTTTCGTTTTTTGGTCACGAGTAAATCGCTTAAAAAACAATATGGGTGCAAACTCAAATTATAGTAAACATAATCTATACAAAGTTAATCAACCAAATAATAACAATAAATAATAAAATACTATTAAGATACTATAATTGAAAACAACTATAACTTATTATTTAAGTATTAACAGACACAACAATTTTTTACTAGAATATTAAAAATTGAAATAATCTCATTTTCTTTGTTAAATAACTAAATATGCACTGCCAATATTGATAAGAACAATTAGTTGACATGTTTGTTAGCTACTTATATTGACCATAGATAAAAATTTATTGTTAAACAGAAAACTTTTTAATTGCAATTAATTGTAATTTTTTTAACATTTTCAAGTCAATTAGTCTATAAAAATAACCACAATTTAACTATTAAATTATCAAAATAATAATCAGAACACTTAAAACACAAAGTTTTACATTTGCTATAACAATCACAGATACATCAAACTGAGTGCTTGATTTGTTTAATATAAATACGTAATTCACACGATAAAATTATGTTATTTCAAACACAACAATATCATTTAAAACATGTAGAATTTAATAATTTTGTCACTTTTTTTATTCATTTTAATAACAAATACAATAAAAATATTAAGATAACATCTACTGTAATATATAATTGTTGTATTTTCTTGTGTGACTTATTTAAAACTAGATGCATCACCGTATTATTTCAATTATGCAATCCTTTTCACCACAATTTAAAAAAGATGTTGATACTTTTAATTTCACAATTGAACCATATATTATTTTATCGATCCGTTTTTAATGACACGTTTCATTGTTGTGATAAAAGTGTTTTATACTATTTTTGAAGATTGTATTATCTTACATTATTACTGTTTATTATTGCTAGTTCACATGTAATGTAATCAACAAAAAAATCACTACTTGTGTCTATATGATTAATTCAAGTCTACATTGTTTTATTTTTTTTATTATTAATTATTTTTTATTTATATTTTTTAAATAAAAAAGATGAAAAAAAAACTTACTAAATCATTCAATCAAAACAATAATAGTAACTCCCCGAAGGGCTGCCTTTTTTCTTTTGGTTTTAATAATAAAAGTGTGTCAATCGCTGCTCTTGGCGTTTTA